GGGGGGGGGGGGAAGGAGGGCGAGTTTGCCCACCCATTGCCATTGATGATGGCATACTTTCTTGGCGAGTCCAGACGTTGCCACAGAATCCTTCCTACCCAGTGCTCCAGGCAGCCCCTCAAGGCCAGTGGGCACCTGTTTGCTGTTCCCACAGTAGATGGGTCCTAACATGTGGCAGGGTGTGCCACGAATGTTAGGCTGGGTAGGTTTCCCAGAGCTTTTCACTGCTGCTCTTCCCTCCGGCCGTTTTCCAGGGACAGTCTCTGGCTGAGCACTGCTGTCTGTGGCTGGAGGAGCTGGTATTCCTCCAGTAGCATTGGTGTTTCCTGGAAACCTGGCGTCTTCCTGTGCGCAGGGCCAGCTCCTGCCACCTCCCTTCTTGGCTCCAAGAACATGGCATGACCTGGTTCCCAGTGGGGCATGCCAAGTGATAAATGAGTTTTCTCCACCAAGTTGAGCCCAGGCTTGGCATGGCTTTATGTCCCTGGTGAACATTTAAGGGAGCAGTGGCCTGCTTCATCTGGCCTGTCGGTGCCAGCAAGCCCAGAGCCAGGCTGGCAGAAATGTCTGCCTGTTCCTGACACTGGACTCATTCTGGTTGCTTTGGCCTCCCCGTACTGTGAGTGTTGGGAATGTGCTGTGTATGGTGGATATGAGGCAAGCCTTTCCTCTCCCCGCATCCCCAAATTGTCCTTTATTAAAAGAATTGAGTCTTTTCAAAGTCTCACAGTGCTCTCTCAGCTACATTCTTTACTTTGAACAGCAAGTACGGTTGAAGAGCACCTTGGTCCGAAACAACCTCAGTCATTACTGAATCTGGGTGCTTCTAGAAATCACATGACTGCGTTGATTAAGAATAAAAGGAGGCAAAGAAAGGTAACAGATTCAGTCATTATTCCTGGGTTTTTGATCTCATAAGTATAAATGTGGAATATTGATATAAGTGAGCCTTTAAAAATCGCTAGTAAAAGGAAGGTAGTAAGTGGCTGATGAAGAAACCAGCTGCCTTAGTGATATGAACGTGGGTTCCTGTGGGTTGGGATAACATTTCCAGTGACAGCATCCTATTTAATTTCACAAAGAGCTGTAGCTCACATCTTAAATGGATGGCAAGGATGCTGTGTTCTGAAAACCTGCTTGGATGACTCAGCTGGACTCTAGGGTTGGTAAAGGCATTACGGTTAAGGATATCATGAAGAGTTTAAAAGGAAATCATTTTGTTAGAAAATAATATTTCATAATTAATGTGATTTTTATTTTAAATATATATATAAATAAAAGTAACAAGTAATGATTTGACATTTTAATCTATTTCCCTAAAAATCACATAGTCAAGTTGGTGCAAACCATTGTTCTGGATCTCATTGACCAGTTGCCTTCAATATGGGAGGCACCTTATATTCCTTGTTTTCTAGGTTACATGGTAATTCTTCCTGCAGCCTCTGATATGGGGGATTTGAAAGGGAGCTGGAACGGAGGGTGGGTGGCATTTTTTCTGCCCTCTCCCTTTATTTTTCTCCCTTTCCATCACTCTTGCTTCTCTGCGCCTTCCTGGCACTAGACCCTGGGCAGGGCTGGGGGCCTCAGAGTGTGCCAGACTCTGACCTCGCCCTCGGGAGATCATGATTTGCAAACCTGTTTTAGATATTAGGAGGCCTGGATGTTTTGATTCACACTTGCAGTGCCTGTGGTTTGCTTCTTGCTGCATAAAGTGTGTTCCATGGAACATATTAATTTATTTTTAAGTAGATTTATTATATGAAACATTCATTGGAGCAGGCCTTACCATACAGCATTTGGAACAATGTACTAAGTACAGTTTGTCCTCATAAATCTATTAATGCTGATAGGATGTAATTGTCTCCTGTGAAGCTTTGGGGTGAGATGGCCAGAGTAGGGGAAGAATCTGGCTGCCGAAATCTCTGTCTTCCTTAGCTTGGCTGTGGCAGGCCCTGCTTGGTGTGTGTGTGTGTATGTGTGTGTGTGCACGTGCTTATACACATCCATTCTCCCCATTCTTTTTCTTCTTTTTTAATGAATGTAGAGGCTTCCATTTCTGTAAAAGTCCTCTTGTTAGCTCCAGTTTCTTATCAAATTCCAGGTTCCAGCCATGGTTTGGAGGTGTAATGAGGCTCACAGGAAAAAGCTGGCTCATGAGTGACGACTGATCTGTGAGGAGAGGGATTCAGGGGACTGTAGAGGGAGGTGGGGACAGGATGCCAACACTCAGGACTGAGTGCAGTGTGGCAGCCCCTGAGCCAGGTGCTTTATCTGCCTGTCCCAGGTAGTCCTGACAGCCACCATAGGAAGTAGGTGTTATCATTTCTGTATTTGAAGCTCAGAGAGGTCTAGTAAGTTGCCCAAAGTGTGGTTCATTTAGTTCAACAAACCTGTACTGATTGGTGGCCTGCCTTGGGGTCAAGGACTGGCCATAGGGCACAAAGCAGTCACAGCTTCTGGCCTCAATGAGTGCTCCATACTGGGGATGTAGAAACAGACCTGTAGAGGAGTCAGATAGGGAAGTGGAGCCTCCCCCTGTGTGATACAGAGTGTACATGAGGGTGTGACGAGTTATGGGAGGCTGTGCAAAGACTGGAGTAGGTGTCCAAGCAAGGGTAGGGCTGGTTCCAGACAGTTCAAAGAGCAGGTACAAATGTGCAAGGACATGGGACACCAAGGTGCGGTGGGCAGGGTGAGGACTGCTGGGTTTAGTGCTGCTCAATCCCTGGAGGGCGGAGGGTGTGTAGGTAGCCAGAGCCGCCAGTGTAGGGCCTCATAAGTCTCATTGGGGAATGTGGACTATAACTGAGGGCCGTGGTGAGCCGTGGGAGGATTTGAAACAGAGGAAAGAGAGAAATGAGTTCATATGTATAGAAGATTACTCAAGAGAACACCAGAGGCCGGTTTGGAGGGGGCAAGCGGGGAACACCTGTCAGAGTTTGTGATGCCTGTGTGATCAGGAAGTCACAGGGGCAGGGGCAGCTCATGGTGGGTAGGAGGAGAAAGATGTAATTTGGTATCTGTGTTGGGAAACTGCGGAGCTGGTCTAAATTCCCCATCTCAGGTTAAAAGGCCACAAAAAAGAAAAAGTCAAAGTATAAGAAAAGAAGCAGTCAGAAAAAGGGTAAAGGAAAATAGTATATTAGAAATGTCAAGACATTTAAAAAATACTTTTCTAAAGACATACAAGATTTAAAGGGTTACAGCTGGGGAATGATGAACACTAAAGCCATATAAAAGTTTTTCTAAGTTTAATAGTGTTTTAGAAATTTGAGTAGACCTAAGGGCAATAGCAAACACAAAAACAGGTTTCTGGCCAAAAGCAGAACCTAAAGTAGGGAAAAGCAGGCAGGGAGGTTCACCACCACTGCAGGCTCTGAGGGCATTATTCTAATGATCTGACAACCGAAGGCTCTGGAAGTGCAGGCTGGGCAGGTGACGCCGTGAAACTGGGCCAGGAAGGAACTGGGCAGAGTAAAGGGCAAAACAGAGCCTCCTGCGTGGGGACGTCTCGGACACCACCCACACCTGTGTTTTCTCCTGCTGGCGTGGCCCCTGGCGGTGGAAGCAAGCCCGTCAGGGATTCGTGCCACCTCTCTGCTGTTGATGCCTGTTCAGGTAGGTTCTTGGCCCTGGAGTCAGTGTGGTGGTGGCTGCGCAGCACGTGGCAGCCTCACGGGCTTGTCCTGATCTGTCGGCTGCCAGGGAAAAGGGAGGTGGAAGGGTCGTCAGCGGATCTCTTGTGACGGGGGGAGGGGAAGGAAGAATATATGGCTCGGCTGCATTTATTGAGTGCCTCTTGTGTACAGTGGAGTGTTTTAGATGTTGTGGGGCACATGGAGCATCAGGAAAAATGTACAAGAAGTGTGTGAGCAGAATGAGGCCGGGGTTCCATGAGGCTTGGACTTAAATGTGCACTAATGTCCAATAAGGAAACCAGCTCATTAGGGCCCTATTAGTACTCTGTCTACTCTAATCACTGGTCCTGCTGATGTCTTTTTCTCCCCCTTTGGTTGCTGTTAAGGAAAGAGGGTGTACTTATAATGGGAAGAGCACAGAGTTTGGAATCTGGGGACCAGGGTTCGCGTTCTGGCTCCCACTTATTAGCAAGGTGACCCTAGGCAAGTGTAACCTCTGAGCATCTGCTTTCTTGTCTGTAATTTGGAGCCGTAATAGTGATGTCCGCTTCACTGAGGTCCCAGGTTGTCATGGGGACCAGTGTGTGCATGTGGGAATAAACTGCAGAGCTCTGTTGAGCAGTGGTGACATTGCTAGGTGCTAAGTGTTCTGAGGTTATTCCTTATACCTCTCACAGCACCTCCAAAGATGTCTGGACACATGAAATGCTGATTGGGTCGCTGGATGCGTTTCCTGTGGCATTAGGCCTTTCACTGTTCACACTGTTGGACAAGGGAGGTGGAGCACCTGACTGGCCTGTGGAGCCTGGAGTGGCCACCAGGAGTGGTGATGCCAGGGCCAGCCACTCATGTGCTGAGGGTCCTAATTTCAGGACCAGACAGTTTCACATGATTTGCAGTCACTGGGCACAGAACTACCTTCAGGATGGCCCAGCTTGAAGTTCAGAAGTTGAAAGCAGACTGGAGCTGCTCCCATTCCCATCCTCGCTCCCACTCCTCTTGCACTACACCCCCCACGTGCCAGCCTGCACACTCTTCACACATGATGTCCCCGTCCCCATAGCTAGCCTCTGCTGACTCCCCATTGTTCCCATTTCCTTAACTCTCACTTGGGCCCCCCTGCTGGTGACCGTGGAGAGGCCCTGTCCATCTCCCGTCTGGGCCCGTGTATGTGCTGGGCATCGGAGCTGGTTTGCTCACTTCTGTGGTTTCCTCGTGCCCTGCTGCAGGTCGTCTTCCATGATGTTGCCGTGCTGATGGACAAGCTCTTCCCAGTCGTGGAGGCCATGCAGAAGCACTTCAGTGCTGGCTCTGGGACCTACTACAGTGACTCCATCTTCTTCCTCTCTGTCGCCATGCATCAGATCATGCCCAAAGGTAATGTGAACTGCTAGCCCCTGGTAATTGATGTTTGCCTCTGTTTCCCTGGCTCCAATACTGCCAGTGCCCTGGATGAGAGGAGCTTCATTGAAACATAAAGAGAGGGTGAGGGGGCCAGCACCGCCCTTTGTGTAATAGCTTCCTGCCCAGAGAATTAAGGGCAGAGCCCTAGGCTGCACAGCTCCCACAGTGTGAGTGGTGCAGTGTGGTCCAGGGCTTCTGAGCTCCAGCCCTTACTCTACAGCCTTGCACATACTCTGCCTCTGGGACTCAGTTTGCTCATCTGATAAATGGCAGGTAGGACTAGGTGACCCTTCATCCAGATATGTGATCCTGTTCTTTCTAGTTTGAATCTACTTATCTAACTTTAAAATATCAAATCTAGATGTGCAAGGTGCAAGTTATGACTGAATAGTACTTTTTTTTTTAAAACTCTGATGCCCAATTAAAGGATTTTCTGGGCTTTGGTCCCTCTAGGGCAGAAGAGATGTGGTTGTCTGTTGTGTGGTAGTTCAGCCTTGTTTGGAAGTGTTGGCAGGTTTGATCATCCTTGGACTAGAAGCCTTGGGGGTAGTCTCACTCGAGGGGTGCCCAGGCACCCCTGGATTATTCTCCTCCAGATGGCCCTTGATTGATTCTGGAGCCCTGGATATTGTTCACTTTCTGGCCATTGCTGAACCATGACCTGAGCCTTTTATGGGTGAGGAGGGGAGTTTTGGGGTCATTGCTTAGGTGACAGCCAGGACATTTGGTGGAGGCCTGCTGCTCTGGACCAGCAGATCAGGAGTAAAAGGGGTATGGAGAGCACCACCATTTGAAGGGCTCAGGAATTCAGGATTTGGAGGTTGAAGCTCGGTTTCATTGGCAGGTTGTCATACCACAGGGAAATCTAGACTTTGTCTCCACAAGGCAGGCTCCTACACCACAGAGGCCCTTGCCTGTTCTCTTAGCTGTGAGGCAAGGGCTCAGGGAGTTTCACCAAGCAGGGGCCTGAGGAGGGAGGAGACAAGCTCACCACTAGGGCATGGGGAGAAGAGCCAGCACTTGGGATTCTCCACAGAAACCAGGTGTGGCTCTGCCAGCCCCGGGTCCTCTCAGCAGCCCTTCGAGGTTACAGATGAGAGAGACTGAAGCCTTGAGTGACCTGCCCAGGGTTATACAACCATTTAAGTGGCGGAGCTGTCTGACGTGGAGACCTACTTCTCCAAGTAGCAGTTATTTCCACCCCGTTAGGTGGGCTGTATGGGCTCTCTCTCCAGGCAGGCCTGGTGCAGGTGCTCGGACTGGAGGAAGGTATGGTTCCTGCTCTCCTGCTTCTAGGTGGGAAAGACAGACGTAGGTGCTGGTTCTAGTTCTGCCACTAAGTTGTGTGCCTTTTGCTGAGCCAGTTTGTCTTTGTAGGCCTCAGTTTCCCCACCTGTAAATGATGAGGCTGATCTAGTGAGCTGTTTTGATCGGAAGAGTCCAGGATCACGGGATCACAGGTGCTATAGTTTGGGGAGCCCAGAGAAGAGCAGTTCTACCTTATCCTACCTCTCCTGCAACCACCTTCACTCCTATCAGTCCGCTGACCACTGTGTAGACCAGGCTCTGGAGCAGGATTCAATTTGTTCAAAGAGTTCCACAATTAAACTAGTTTAAAAGTGTCGACTAGATGGGCCATTAGGGCCTGACCAGTCCTGTTGTCCCACATGTGTGATTGGTTTTGAATGAAATGCAGTGACTAAAACCAGTAGGATTTAGCAGGAAGTCTGGGAGGAGTGCCTGACCTTCCTTTTCCTCCCTCCCTTGCTGGCTGTTAGGTCTCTGCTCACCATGTGTTAGAGTCTAGGCCAGGTTATGCTTTAGGGCACCAGACGGAGGGGCAATAGACAGTCCTTGGGGAATTGTCAGGGTGAGAAGAGATTTCTGCCCCACTGTATTAGGGATGGCCAGGCGGTGAATTGTGAAGTGCAGATTTCAAGAATGAGGGAGCCCCCAGGCTGCTGTCTCTCTGCCTCTCTGACTGCCCTGCCTGCTCCCCTGGCTGTGCCCAGGGGGCAATGTCTGCAGAGACAAGGCTTTGGCCAGAGCTTTGCTGTCCTTGTAGTAGATCAGATCATTGGTATCCCTCCATGCCTCTGAGGGGCCTGTTCAGGTGGTGGGAAGTAGCTGTGTGAGATGTGCAGCAGGCAGACCCAAACACCAGTCTTTCCTTGGGTTCTTCAGGCGAATGATAATGTGTTGTCAGAGATTCATTTCTACATCTGCCCAAAGTCTGCTTCCTGAGAAGAGAGTTATTAGGAGTTACTAAAACCTGACATTCCTAAAATGAAACGAGCAGTCCTGGAGCTCCTGCAGAGCAGGGGTGTTTCTGCTGCTCAGTCTGGCTATTGCACAGCACTTGGCCGTGTGCGGAGCTGCTCCGGGCAGAGCTTCGGAATTCTTGCAGTGTTCCGAAGGATGCTTTGTTTCCAGGCACCACTAGTGCCGTCTTGATTTTGTCATGGCTCTTTATTGCTGCCTTTTTTGTATTCATTATTTTAAATCATAGAAATTGCTGTTGTTTGGGGCTTTGTTGATGATGAATTTGTTATTGCGTAATTGGTGCTATTTTGGTTCACAGCATTCTTTTTTCTCCTGGAAAGTGAGAATGGAGCATGGGTGGGTTATAAGCTCTTGGTCCCGCCTAGGAAGGCTGAGTCAGAAAAGCTATGTTCTTCTGAGTTATGTCTTAAGAGGTCCCATCTGGTGTTTGCCCCAGAAATCCAGGTTATTTTTCTGCACCCAAGCCTCTCCTTTGCCCCACCCCCATAGCATAAAGATCACCCTTCTGTGCTTAAACTACCTTTAAAATACGTTTACTTCTTTTTCTGTTTTAAAAGCAGAACTCATTTATAAGGGAATATCTGAAAAAATAGAAAATAATATAGTCAATATTCTTGACTATATTATATTTTTCCATCATTTAGCTTTTTAATAATTTAGGTAAAGTAGGCATTATACTCTATATTTAAAGCATTTTGAGTGTTTTTAACATATTGAAGCATAAAATGGAACCTTTATTTAAACTCAAAAATGAAAGGACAGAAGTAAAGCCATATCTATGGCATTTTCAGTTCATGCTGCTCATCACCATTTTTGGTGGAACCATATAGCTGTTGAGCATTTTTTGAATGGTTTCACTGAGTTCGTCTTATCAGTTCCCTGTTCTCGGCTCCCTAGATAGTTCTGTTTTTTCTAAGATCATAAATTATACTGTGATAAGCATCCACATGTGTAAAGATTATATTTTCTAATTAGGATTATTTCCTTATCATAAGTTCCCATGGGTGGGATTACTGGGCCAGAGGTGATACTTACAAAACCTGCCTGAGTCAGCTCCCACCTACCGCACTGTTGTCAGACTGCATGAGTGAGTTCTGTACCTTTTCTAAGCCCATTCATGTTTGATCTCTTGGAGGGACCCCAGGCAGCCACATATGAGCACCAGGACAGTTGCTGTTCCCACTTGACAGGAGAGGAAGGGAGGAGCTGAGGTCAGGCCATTTTTCCAAGTTTTAGGGCCAGCTGGGCCTCCTTATCTGGGTTTCTGATCCTTTGCCCTGGCTTATTCTGATGGCCAGACCTGAATGCCCAGCGTCTCACACACACAGTGCCTTGAAGCTTATAAAACCTGGCCTCCTCTCTCCTCTCCTCCTTGGCCTTTTGCTGCAGCTCTGCATCCTGCTCAGAGCAGCACCACCCAGACCATGTCTGCAGAGTGAGGAGTGAAGGGGCCCTGCAGGCAGAACACGCTGGCTCTGGTTTTGGTCAGGGCTTGTTTTTCTTTCTGTTGCTTGTTGGAAGGGTCATGTGTGGCTAACTGGTCCTGCGGCTCACACTTGCCCATCCATGTGTCCTTCACAGACATGCAGCCACTCTCTGCTCCTCACTCACACCCACAGGGCTTTTATCTCCTCCTGTTGATGGTGTTAGGTTTGTCACCATTGGAAGCATCTTGCGCAATGGAAAAGAAAACATTTTTGCCCAACTGAAGCTGGAGGGAGTGAATAGCAACTCCTCAGGGACTGCAGCTTCCTTCTCCTGTGTACACAGCTCCTAGGATCTGTTGGCTCTGGATTAGTGACATGGGCCATAAAAATAGCCCTTACCAAGGCTGAGCCATGATGCCTGGTATATGATTGTAACAGGGTTTTCCCGGGGCATGGAGGGCAGGGGCCCAGACAATTGGCAGTGTGTAAAGCTTGCTGGAGGCCCTGGGAGACGTTCCTGTAAGGCTCCTGTCCTGTGGTCAACCCTTTGCCAATAGGCATCCTCTGCCAGGGGTCTGGTGTTTGCATGACGTGGTGCTGGCCACTCTGGGTCTCAGAGATGTTTGCTGGGTTGCTGCTTCTTGGGCTCATGGTGGTGGGGTGGGTGGCATGGTCCAGTGTTAGGCAGGATGTCATGAAGGCCACAAGGGAGATCCACCCAATGCTGAGGGTTCCAGAAGAAGATGGCATTTGGCAAGAAGGAGGAGGGCTTTATGGAGGAGGTGGTACCAAAGTTTTGAAGGTTGCATAAAGTTTTGTTTTGTAGAAACAAGTAGGGACGAGTTCAGCAGGTGGGAAGAATTGTGTGCATTTAGGAAATAGCACATCACTTCTTTCAACAGACATGTTAGGAAGTAGTGGGAGAGAGGATGGTCAAGGGAGATTGGCATGTACTGTGCAAGCTTAGATGCCAGGCTGAAGGCTAGCCCCAGACATAGGAGACAAGGCCTTTGTGGGCATTTGTGGCAGGGAGGAACCTGACCAGATTCATGCTTTAGGAAGGCTGATGTGTCTGAGATAGGGAGTGGATCTCAGGGGAGATGTTGGGGTCCAGCTGCATATCTTTTTTGAAAGTCTGCTGAGCCGAGCATTACAGACAGGCTGTAAGAGACCCAGAGGTGGACCCCCTGGCCTCAAGCAGCAGCTAATCTAGCATGTGCATGTGTACATGTGTCTGTGCATACATGCTATGGGTACCAAGCT